GGATGGGGGGGTGCCGCGGCAAGATGCCCACTTATGAGCTCTGGGGGTGGACCCCTAGAGAACTGCAGGTGAAGCTGGATCCAGGAACCCCGATGCCGAATCTTGAGGCGGGGGTGGGGAGGGGACAGGCGGCGGGGTAAAAAAAAGAAAAAAAAGAAAAATAAATAAATAATGTATAAAATGTTTTTAAAAAATTACTACGAGGCCCCAGCCAGTGTGGCTCAGTGGATAGAGTGTTGACCAGCGAACTGAAGGGTCGTGGCTCAATTCTGGTCAAGGGCACGTACCTCAGTTGCAGGCTTGATCCCTGGTCAGGGTGCATGTGGGAGGCAACCAATCGGTGTGTGTCCCTCTCTCTCTCTCTTACATAGATATTTCTCTCTCTCTCTCTCTCTCTCTCCCACCCGGTCTAAAATTCAATGGAAAAATATCCTTGGGTGAGAATTAACAACAAAAAAGAATTACTAGGATTAACAAAGACGTCTTGGAGGACAGTGTGACTGAATTAAGTCTAAAGGAAGAATAGGAATTCACCAAAAGGGAAGTGAGGGGAGCAGTGGCCCACCTCAGTGGGAGGGGCTATTCCGCCAGAGGAGGTGGGAGTGGAGGCACGGAGGCAACATGCTTAGAAAAAACTACCATGCACCTCAATGGTCTACAAACCTAGAACTATGCACACTGCTTTTCGCATTGCATCACACGGTCTAAAGCAGTGGTTCCCGACCTTCTTTGGCCACGCCCCACCTAAGCATCTCTAAAATACTAATGCCCTCGCCCCCCATCCCCGCCTCAGGACATATAATTCTCATTATTCAAGAAGTGAGCTCCTATTCACGTGGAGGAAGCCCCAAAGGCCATGAACTGGTCTAAACAAACTTCCAAAGAACATGGCATCCATGAAAGAGAAAAAATAAAAGGACGGAAGGACAGTGAAAGTACTGAGGAAGAAATCACTAAGAAATAGTTAAAAAAAATAATAATAATATGAAGTGACATGAAAAAATAGCAAATAAAGTTTCAAAACATAATGGAGAACTGAAATGCATAAATGTCACAATATATATTTATATATTGTATATGAGGCCCCTTGAACCATAAAAAATGCAAAAAAATTCAGTTAACAGCTCATTCTCAAATTGCCCCCCTTAAAAATCAAATTGCTGCCCGGCCAGCGTGGCTCAGTGGCTGAGCATGTCGACCTATGAACCAGGAGGTCACCGCTCAATTCCCGGTCAGGGCACATGCCCAGGTGGCGGGCTCGATCCGCAGTGTGGGGCGTAACAGGAGGCAGCCGATCAATGATTCTCTCTCACCATTGATGAATCTATCTCTCTCTTTCTCCCTTCCTCTCTGAAATTTAAAAAAAAAAAAATAAGAAAAAAGAAAATCAAATTGCCCCCCTGTGGGGAGTATGCCCCACATTGAGAACCCCTGGTCTAAAGCAAATGAGGCAAAGTGTGAAGTATAACAAAAAGGAAGTGGGTGCGGACAGAACCTGGGGAACATGAAAAGGGCAGGTGGATGCCCTAACCGGTTTGGCTCAGTGGATAGAGCATTGGCCTGCAGACTCAAGGGTCCCGGGTTCGATTCCGGTCAAGGGCATGTACCTTGG